CAGTATTTTTAATCTGTTGAAGATTTTACTATCAAGAGTACAAGTGCACTTACAGCTTGTGAGTAGGTGACCACTTCCATTTATGCTGACACATCACACACAGTGTTCTCAAGCTTTGTCTAAATGTCTTTCCATCTCCAGCCAGGCTTTTCATTTCTGCTGGACATATGACCCCAAAATATTACCATGAACAGGGAATTGCTGTCTGGCGCAGTGCTCCCCACAGGAACCACAGTTCCAGACCTTCTCTGTTCATTACAAAACTGAGTGCTGAGAAGACTGAAGATGTCATTACTTGGTGTTAGTAATATCAAACTCAGGTTCACAGAAGACATGTAGGTTGAAACTTCCCAGTTCAGCTTTAAATCAGTTTGTGTATTTTACAAGTCTTTGCAGACAGGCAAACAAAGAGAAGGAAGGCGTAATAAAAACATCAACAACTTCTAAAATTAACAGGAAATTAATAATAAGAAACACTGTGTGCCTTTAACATGGGATTAAAGGGGTGAATACATGCTCAAAGAGTTTTTTAAAGGATTTTTTCTGGAACCTGGTGCTCAGTTTTTCTTTATTTGCGAACTGAGAGCTTCCTACTGTGCTCGTAGGAGTAAATCACGGTAGGCAGGAAGTTCTAACACACTACAATGTGTTAAAGTGATATCAACAACAGCAAAATAATGTGACAACGTGGGAGTCCCAGCATGCATTCATGCCAAATGGTTCATGTTAAAATGGAAAACACAAAGATTATTTTTCAGTGACAAAAGAAAATCAATATTTAAAATCAATGCCAGTCATGGGGAACAGTGAGCATAAGTAACAAAAGACCACAAAGCACCTTTGGGAACACTCAAAAGAAAAATGCAAAAAATATAAAACCATTATACCAAAATAAAAGCCTCTTTGCCCCACATTAGGATAGATTTGCGAGTCAAAATCAGAAACCATACTGATACTAATTTTTCATGTTGCCACTTCCAGCCACTTCTAAAAAACTAAAGAAAACTTAAGTGTCTGAGGTAAAGTTATTTGAAAATACTAGAGTAACGCCCATCTTTCTTGCCCATCTCTCACGGCTTATTCTTAATTTACTTTTAACTACTATGCTGCTGTATACAAGAGGCTCTTGCAGATCCCAGATCTGTATGCACACACTGGTTCTCTTCTGCTTATATGCCATGCGCCCAGTGGAAAGGCAGGTGGGGTCTCCGGAGAGACAAGAGGGGGTACCCTGGCAAGCACAGTGGTGCTCGCTCACCTGCCCAGCAGTTCAGACACACCAAGGCACGCTACACACTCGATGGGATTCTGAAACTCCTTTGCAATCCCCTCTTCGCAGATCAGCTGTGACAGAAGTGCAAAGGCATGGTTAGCCTGCTTATTCATTTCATCTAATGGAGCAGTTTGGTGCAACAGTGACACACTTGTGTGAGACAAAGTGAGTAACAAAGGCTCTGCACGGAGCCTTTATGGTACCTCTGTCTGAATTGCTGTTTGCTCAGGAACAGCACCAGACCTGCACTGCTCCACGCACCATGGCAATACTCTGCCTAGGTTAGCAGGGCCTGCCAGGCTGAAACCCCTGACCTGGTCTGGGGCACTAAGCACGGTCACACAAAAGCCAAACAAACTAGTAAAACCCAACAGACCCAGCTAGTCCACGTGAAGTGTCTTCCAAAACTTGTCATAGTGGGTTGACCCTGGTTGGATGCTGGGTGCCCACCAAAGCTGCTCTATCACTTCCCCTCCTCAGCTGGACAGGGGAGAGAAAATATGATAAAAGGCAGATAAGGACAGGGAGATCGCTCAGCAATTACTGTCATGGGCAAAACAGAATCCATCTGGGGAAACTAGTTTAATTTATTACCAATCCAATCAGAGTAGGGTAATGAGAAATAAAAACTAAATCTCAAAACACTTTCCCCCCACCCCTCCCTTCTTCCTGGGCTCAACTTCACTCCTGATTTTCTCTACCGCCTCCCCCCGAGTGGTGCAGGCAGACGAGGAATGGAGGTTGTGGTCAGTTCACCACATGTTGTCTCTGCTGCTCCTTCCTCCTCAGGGGGAGGACTCCTCACATTCGTCCTGCTCCAGTGTGGGGCCCCTCCCATGGGAGACAGTTCTCCGTGAACCTGGCTCCTTCCATGGGGTGCAGTCCTTCAGGAACAGGCTGCTCCAGTGTGGGTCCCCCATGGAATCACAAGACCTGCCAGCAAACCTTCTCCAGCATGGGCTCCTCTCTCCACGGGACCACAGGTTCTGCCAGGAGCCTGCTCCACCACAGTCTCTCCACACGGTCACAGCCTCCTTTGAGCACATCCACCTACTCTGGTGTTGGGTCCTCCCTGCGCCACAGGGGGACAGCATGCCTCACCATGGTCTTCACCATGGGCTGCAGGGGAATCTCTGCTCCGGCACCTGGAGCACCTCCTCCCCCTCCTCCTTCACTGACTCTGGTGTCTGCGGGGCTGTTTCTCTCACATATTCTCACTCCTCTACTCTGGCTGCTGCTGCACAGGTTTCCCCCCCCTTCTGAACAAAGGTGCTATCACCATCGCTGATGGGCTCAGCCTTGGCCAGCAGCAGGTCCACCTTGGAGCCAGCTGGCATTGGCTGTGTGGGACACGGGGGAAGCTTCTAGCACCTTCACACAGAAGCCACCCCTGCAGCCTCCCCACTATCAAAACCTTGCCAAGCAAACCCAGTACACCTGTATTAGGGAGATTTTTATGTTACACACCACACAAAAATCACATTATTTTTAACTCCATCACTCCCTCCTTTAGAGAGCTGGATGTATCTATTTGCCAACTTAGATAGCACAAGCCCATCTTATTGTAGTGCATCACAAGTAGTAGGTTTAAACACAAGAGTAGCCAAATCTGGAAGGGATACACTTTTCCCCCATAAGGAATGTGAACTAAAGCAAAGATACCTACTAAGCAGTTTTCTCAAGGTCTACAGGAAATTTGTGTGTGGCAGATCTCCACAGTCCCTCTCCATTCCCTTAGCTGCTAGGGTATTTCCTCTCCCGATGCACAGTACAGTTTGTTGAGGAAGTAAATTCTAAATAACTTAATACACTGAATAAGTGGAGTTTCACCAAAGCACAGACCCAGACCCATGTAACTGTTGAAACAGAAGTTTTAATAACGTTCCCTGTTGTATTTGGAGCAGTAATATTTACAGAGCCCAGAGAGGAATTAATAAAATCAAACTTACTGCAAAATTTAATTAAAACGGTACAGGGCAATAGAGAGTCTTCACTACCTTTTTCTAAGAACTCCATCCTTCACAGGATATTGAATGACAATATACTTAGCTAATAAAGGTCAAAAGAATGCACATTAATCGAATGTGTCCTAACAGCAGGATATATATTCTCCAATCTGATTAACTCTTTCCTAGATTCAGATTTATGCACAGTAATCCTCTGAAGAAACAAAACCCACTCAAACCCTTAGAAAATAACTACCTCACCTCTCACTAGGGAATTAATGCATAAAGAATGCCTGTAATATATTGCAAAGGCTATAAATACATTAATTTTTTAGGAAGTCTGTTTTCTTTTTACTTTGGATTGCTAGAACTGAAACAATAATGCGTGGTGAGATGAATAAAAGTGTGTGTGCTGAGCCAGACTTTGAGATTTTGCTTTCTTTGGGCCTGTATTTTAGTCTGCACTTCACAAGAATAAAGCCTATTTTGGGCACTATCCTAGTAAAATAAGATTTTAAAACATTGCTTTCCTTTGGATTGCTTTCCTTGGACTGACATCCAGTAAGGTCACAGATTACTGGAGACCCTGAAGATGTTGCACAAAGGGATGAAGAAAGAGAAGAAAACTGCTACTTGAGTTGCAATTATGAAAAGTTGCAGCACCCACTGATGCATGAGGTTTATGTTGCCTGGAACACAATTTACTGTGTGTTCACATGGTTCCTAAAAGGGGCAAGAATGCAATACCACAGACAACAAAGGCAGACCAGGTAAGTCAGATGCTATCTTAACTTTCATCTGGAGGAGTTTTTGTTGTGAGTTCAGCTACATTTTATCCACATGTCTGAGACTGTTACTTGAGAACACCACCAAATCAAGAAATAAACTTGGGAAGAGGAATTATCAGAGAAGACATATGATACAATTAAATATATGGCAGTGGTTTGACCAAGCAGAGATATTTGAGAATGAATGGCTTGTGGAGGGGATGAAAGACGCTTGCCAGCTTAGTGTTCAACAACGTACATGCTGCCAGCAAACATCATGCTATCACATTGCTATAGTAGACTTGGCTTTCTGAAGCATGTTTGTTTCATCCAGAAGTAACATTATTTACCCTGCAAATAAAAATTTGAGCTGCGGTACAACGTGCTGTAATAAAAAGGGATTTATAAAAATATTACTTATCTTAGTCTGGATTTATTTAAACAATGAGGATATAGTTTTACAAACTCACCTATATCCATGTGAGAATATTAAATCTGGAAGTTTCAAAACTCTATGGCTTACTACCTACAAGCCCCTTCCCCCTTCTTCTGTGAGCCTATTTTCAAGATGGAACAAGAAGAAATGAGGTACTTCTGTGTTTATTATGAATAGTCATGCTTCTTGGCATATGTTATTGTACTTTGCAGTTAATAAACAAGCATTTCTGTTGTGAATAACCTAGGAGTGGAATCAGTTTGTATATAAAATCTGAAAGACAAAGGATGATTACTTATCTTATTTTGCATTTAAAAAACCTAAAATCTTTCTCTCATGAGCACACAAAACACAGCCTTCAGAAGGAACGCATTTTTATAATCTTCTCCCTTTAGGTGTGTTGTATCTTGTTTTTTTCATCTGCGATTGTCAAGAACAAGCCTACCCAGCAGAAAGCAATGGATTTAAAGAAATTCATGTCTAAAACTATTGTAGCTATTTCTCACCACAGTCTCCTTATGCCAACATTTGAGCGGTGCTGGTTACACACACCGATTTATTAAAAAGCAAAGTCGTACCTGTAGACATGCAGGAGCTCTGCCCTGGGGTTTATTCACATCAACAGCCACAAGCTGCCAACCTCCAGCAGCATCTTCATGAAACATCTTGAAAGGGAAAATTGTCAGAAATGTTTTATGTGCTGATAAATACAAGTGAAATATAATACATTCCCCTTAAGGACCTGCATACATTTCGATGATAGCTAGTTTAAAATAAGAGGGAAATGGTTCTTACTGCTACCAAAAAAAAGCAACATGCTCTTTTTCCAACGTTAATAGATTCTGAATTTTGCTCAGAAAACATCAATCACAATGTGTCTCTATTAGTCCTAATGTAGAAACCGATTCAATTAATCTCTGATCAGTATCATTAGATGGTGGTACTGTTCAGAATAAATTCCTTACTAAGGTAAGCTTATCCTGAGAAAACACAAATACACTGTGACCAAAAAATAAGTTTCACGGTGCATTTGGAAATAATAGACAAACTTGTCTTTTTTAGCGGCAAAATTACTTTACTCCAAGGATCAGGCTTTATTTTTGTTGAACTGATGCATATCAAGAGTAGCTGTACAGTTCTTCTGTACTGTTACTCAGACTTTATAATTCCTGCAAATAGCTGAATGATATCCTGCGTCTAATGATGTCAATGGAAAAGGCTCTCTTGACCACAGTGGTATTCACATTTTGCCAATAACCTCTGGAAGCGTAGGTGTAAGCATTCTGGTATTTTGTGGGGGGTTTTTTGGTGGGTTTTTTTTTTTTTTTTCTTTCTCAGAAATTAGGACATAAAAAGATGCAGACTGCTGGACATCAGGAACAGTGAGAAACCATGTCCTTGAAAGAAAATTAATGGCTCCAGCATTTTGAATTGCCACCTGAGAGTCTGCATATACTATGTAATGAAGCATGGAGAAGTTGCCACTTTTCCTTGACACCCAGCACCCAAACAAGTCACCTCGAGAACAGCCACAGCAGTGTGGTTGAAGCTTAAAAGTCATCCTGAGAGAAGTGCTCATTAGACTGGGGACAGTGTCACACAAATATGGTTGCAATGCTGCCAACTCAGATCAGCACTGAGTTACTCCTCTTTGTACCGTACTTTAATGTGAAGTGCTAAAGTGCTTTACAAGAACCTCCTTTTATCCTTCTCCAGAGACCCCTTCCTTGACTTTGACTCTCGGACACTCGTTTTCTTTTCTATAGGACTAAGTTTCAGGACCAGTTTAATGATTTATGAAGTGGGCAAATGAAGCAAGATATTGTTGCTTTTTCTCAAGGTTATTTCATGCACAAAACAAGCAAGGTTTTTAACTTTCGCCTGGTGCTTTGAACAAGAAACCCTGCAAGAAATTTTCTGCCCTTCTTAATACAGAAAAAGATAAATCATTTTTGTAGTTCAGTAAGCTGGACTCCCTTTATGTCCCATTAGGCCAGTGACTCAAGGAACAAAGTAACCACTCGCTTGTGTGCAGCCAACATGCTATTTTTATTTTGCATGATGCAATTTATATTCAACACGTCCATATTCTTTGGCATGATGATGCTATTTTGGGAATTTCTTTTATCCTTGAAATTCCTTAATGTTGGCTGCTTCTTAAGTTTCCCTACCTTGATCTCTCTGTTCCAGCTTCTAGTTGAGACTATGTTGCTTAAACCTATACAGCTCAGGAATTTGTCCTATCAGAGATGAAACGAACATTACGTTCCTCAGGCTAAGTACGCATCATGTGGAAAAATCCCCTTCTGTTAGATTTTGAATTGATATCATCAAGTCTGCTTTGACAAAGACATATATAAGGTAGAAATTATTGCCACAAAGTCTATTTGAGGTGAAAAATGCAGCAGTAGGCAGAAAAAGACTAGATTTACATATGGATTAGAGGAATATCCAAAGAAATATCCGAAAATATTTAATAAATAATTTTGAAACATTTAAATCCTCTGGTTTGAGAAAATAAATAATCTCTAGCTACAGAGGTTAGAAAAATTTTCCTCATGGGTACATTCCTCATATCAGTCTTTCTAAGGGCTTTTTGCAGACAATCAGTACTGGTCCCTCTTATAGACAGCAAACTGCACTAGCTTGGAAAAGCCTGGCCTTTTGTTCATTCAGGACACATAATACGATTGTTACAATAATGAGTGGGAGAACTGAAATCTCAACCCTTTAGCCCCCATTTTTCATATCGTGTCTTTCACACTACCCAGCCCACACATAGCACCCTTCCTATCATGGCTTCTTCCTACTCATTCTCTCATATTCGGGGTGTTGCTTTCTGTGGCAACCCCAAATATTAGCCTGGCTCTTTCGTTGCCTCAGCACCTCATTCCTCCTTGGTCTCAACATGCCCTTCTCAGTTCCAGGACCAGCTTCCCCAAACACTTCAGCTGCCCTCTGACATCTCTTCTCCCAGCTACAGCTAGCAATTTCAGCTCTTCTGCCTTAGCACAGAAAGTGATATTCAATAGCAACCCTAATTCCAAACCCAGCAATGACATGATAAAAAAGCATTATGCTACTTCATTAAAAGAAAACAAAACCTTAGCGATAACATACCCAGCCACATAAAGAACCATATTACAGTCTTCGCTGTTATTTGTTTTTAGAAAGTTTAGCTGGATAACATACCCTAGAATTTAATTTTAAAGGAAAATTAATATATCAACTTTAAAATATATGTGGTAACATGCTACATCAAATAAATCAGGTAAAATAATAATTCACAGGATTTTTTTGCTTATTATTCATTCATAAGCTAAACCCCATCAAGTCCCCAGAGAACCTCAGTATCTCAGATGCTTCACCTGGGTGGTGGCAGTTGAAGTAGTACTGCTTCTGGACCCCCACATCTGCTGGAACTGCACTCGAATTTCTGCAAACGTTTCAATGATGACTGCGATGAAAACATTCTGAAAACAGAACAAGAAGAAAAGAATGGATGACACAAAGCTCAGCAAGAGGGAAAGAGAAGAAATTAATTCTAATATGATCTACATTTCAGACAGGTTTAAAAGAACACATTTTTCAGTACCTTAACAAGCCAGGCCAGAAAGAAAATTAAGGTGATGAAATAGAAATATGAACGCCATCGGGGAAAGCTGTCGATTGCTCGGTACATAAGGAACACCCAGCCTTCCTGAGAAGCAGCTTCGTAAACAGTAAATATGCTTGTGCCTGTCAGAGGAAAAATGAAAATGTTTGGCATTAAGCCTCCCTGAAGGTTTTCAATAACGGCAAACAAGAATCTTTTATCTATTTTATTTTCCTTTTCTCCACAGAGTATCAATCAGTGCTCTTTTCCTCACTTCAAAGACAAGTTTTTCAGGTGCACTTCCACGTTTCTTCCTTTTGCATTTGAATATGAATTGGTTTTGTATCAGACTGGACTGCCTCCTCTCCCTGGACACATATGCATAATCCCTTAGAAGGGTTCACTGGCAGTATGCAAATATCTCAAAGGCAGAATTTGTCCCATCATGTGACTTCAGCAGCATCCATAAGAAAAGGCAGATTTAATTAAAACCTTTTGGATCAACATTCAGCAGGTGTAAGGAATATCAGCAGCACTGAGGAAGCAGCAATAGACCGAAAAGGTGCCCAACACTTGCAAGCACACTTAAGCATCTACAACAAGCTACGGAACAGTTTCAAAATTCAGGCAGGTAGCCAGGGTAGCTGCATTAAGATACATGTGTAGCCTTAAAAAACATTAAAGCATTTTTAAGTTGAACTTCCTACATCACTCTGGGGAGCGGGGGAGGAGATCAAAGAAAAGCTATGAGGGGTTCATGTGTGCAGAAACTATTTTTGAATAAAAGCTATGAAGTTACTCGTTTTAAACTTAAGACTCAAACTCATCCTAATGTCTGAGGGATGACATGCTCCAGCCAGCTCCCCCTTCCTCCTTATCTCTGCAATGAAAGCTTCAAAATACAGGCTGTGGTTAGGGCTTGTACGCCGTTCTTGTTTGAAGTTATTTTTTGTTCTGAGAAGGAACACAATTAAACTGTGAAATTAAACTGTGAAATCTCACAAACTGCTGTGAAATTGTGGAATTGTCCTACGGCCACCTGCTAGCTTCGCTCCACTCCTGCTTCGTTTCATGAAACATCTTGGATACAAGAGAGGGAGCGTGAGGAGTACTGCCCTTAGCAAAACAGAGCAGCTGCTACCAACACACAGATCGTAAACATGAACCAGCCGACTATCTGATCCTGTTCCCAGAGAAAGGAGTGGTTTTAGTCAGAAATTCCCAAGTCCAGGAGTTTCCCCCCCAAATCACATCAGCCTATAAGGAGCTCTGCACTGTTATTCTGCCACTGAATTTGCAGCATCTACATCCTTTTGTTTGCTAACACAGGTGGGATGAACTTGGAAGTGATTTTGCCTTAGGGAGTTCCTTCCACAGATAAATATTCACTGATAAGAGGAGACAGGGATGAATGGAATTTCTTTGGTATAAACTCCCTCCTTTGATACGTAGGTGTTGAATGGTTAACATGGTCATGGCTGTTAGGCAAAAATGTTAATCCTTTCTGTTAATTTTTCTGGTTATTGGATTCCTTCCTATTTACTGCATATGGTTCTCAGGACCAGGGGACAGAAATAAAAATAAAAGTAAAGAAAAAGCATTCAAGCATAGATAGCAAAAGTCCTTCTGTTTCTTCAGAAAAGAGAGTGGTCTCTATCAATACTGAAATATTCATCAGTGATTACTTCATGGGTATTTTGCATTTCAAAAATTCATAAAGTAATGGTTCAATTATCTAATATTATACTGTTGCTGAACTGATTAAATTATTGAACAAAACAGTGCTGTTGAGGACAGGCAGAGATTAAGGGAAAAAAAGGAATCTATTAAAAGTTGCTGGCTAGGAAAACGTAATTAGTCATTACCAATGGGAAAGTCACAGTGAAGATTAGTAAAATAGAGGGGATGTCATGCAAAGTATTTATAACACATACACTGGGCCATCTGCCACAGTAAAGCAATACTGTGAATGGACAAAAATGCACAATTAACCCGATTAAAATAATATGAGTTAAATAAAAATACAGCTTGTATATAACTGGTACAGGTATTCTTCAGGCTATCAGAACGCAATCACTACTCGGAATATACATTCTAACTTAACATATGTGACTAGAAAGTAATAATGCTTTCAATACTCATGCCAGGAACCATGCTGTTAACTACCTCTGTAAATACTGTTTCAACTGGATACAGAATAAAGGCATGGCAGTAAGGGATCCAACATCATGACACGTTTTCTTTTCAAAAAGAAGAGTAATTCTTAGTTAACATCTGCCTTACTGCACGTTTTTGCTCTTCTAAAAGCTACATTTGAAGACAACCTGCAACTGATTCTATTTTTTTCTGAGTATTTAATATCTAACCACATCTTCCCAAAACCAACGTGTCAGGTATTAAAAAGATCCTCCTTTCACAGCAGCACGCCCTGTTTTTCTCACCATGTTCAAATCCATATGATTTGAAAAAGAGTTTCAAAATTGTAAGCGATGGGGGGATACATCACAACAAGCCAGACACGGCGATGCTGCCAAGTATGAAACCTAACTTATGCCGCTTAGATCAAACAGCAAAATTCTCCTCCTCCACAGGTGTCAGCATTCTGTCTGTCTGTGACATAGTGTCTTCTTCAACTAGTTCAGAGGGCTTAAGTCCTGACCACGTAGTGCTAGGGGTCCCATGGTTAAGGCACACGACAGCATAGGACCTCCTGTAGTTAGCATAAGAAAAGCAGGAATATGGGTGGCAGGGGGACTGAGGGCTTGAAACCCTGCAGAGCCTGGCTATTCAGATACACAACAAGACCCATATGGTTCAAAACATAATCATCTCTTGTCAATGTCCTGAACGTTTAGATCAACATTCATGCAACCTAAGTACAAACATCAGCAAGATGTTTCATTCATGAAAAAGCTTTGAACCACGAACAGCGTTAAACATAGCACTATAATGACACTACTCATCAGTTTAGGCATGTTGGCACAGGTAACTTGCTGAATCTGGCATTAGGATTTCAACATCTGCATCTAGAATACTGTTAAATCTTCGTCAATAAAAATATCTAGAAAATATTTATGATAATTTTCCTATTTGTTTCAGTAGATGGCTAAACCTTGGTGGCAAGAAAGATTAAAGACATTTAGGAGGAACTTTCTTATGAAAACAGAAGTAAAATAAAGGTATATGCTTTGAGATATTTTGTTTCAGTGCTTTTGTTTGAAATTGTCTAATAAGCTCTACATTTTGATGTTACAATAAAACAATACCTTTCACCACACTGATGGTTAATCAAAAAAAAAAAAAAAGGAAGGAAAACATTTCTCAATACACAGATTAAAACTAAATAAATCAATATCATAATTTGTATCGGTCTCAAAAAATGGCTTTTATGCAAACAGTAAATACTTCTACCTTTGGAAATTTTTTACAGCTGTGCATGGTCATCATCAAAAACAAAAGAAAAAGAATTCCAGAAAACGAAAGATTTAATGAAGTATAGGAAAAGAGACTGAATCTTGCTCAACTTATGCAACATTTTCATTTGATTCATAACTTGTAGAGGAAAAGACAGCAATCAGAGACAAACTGTATCCCGACTAATACTGCCTCTTTAGCCATACGGGCACTCAGCTCTGAAATGCAGGGGGCTTATGCCTTCTTCAATACATATGTTTCTTTCAGATCTGCCAGCTGGGAGCATTAGCCTGAAGGGGCATGGAGGAAGTAGTTGCTTTAACACCCGACTGGTTGTAATAAAAGAAACTCCTACTGGTTTCCATGCCATTCCAGGAGGCAAGGTCACCTGGCTCTTCTGTGCTACACAAATGAATAGCGCAGCAGGGAGAAAAGAACTGACAGAGCCGGAGCACACAGGTGATGACTTTCCACAGGGGAGTGAAGAAACCTATCTGGCCAAAACCTTATCTTCTAAATACCTAAAGAATATAAAGAATTTAAGAAAAGGACTCATAGTTGACAGAAAAGAACAATAGTATCACTATGCAAGGATCCTATTTTACATAGTGTGTTTTACATTTACACATATTTTGCAAACACAGAGCATCTTCTGCTTGTTTCTGTGCCTCTGTCACACCACCATGCTCTGTGACATCAGCTCTTGCTATAATCAACTCATTCTGCGAATGGACATCATGAAAAGGGGAGTGCACTGAATAATGTTGTAATTTTATACATGTAAAATTCAAGGAGCAGAGCTAAAAGGTCACATGGAAAATTCATTAAATCTGGAAATAGAACAGTCTCCTCCTAACTCTATGTTACGTTCTTGCCTCTAGATTCAAAATCCCATATTATTAGGAGATGCACAATGATGAGGTGTCGTCTTTTATTAACATCTTTGTGCTACGTAATTTTTAGTTCTTCCAGGTGAGAAACAAAAAATGAAAACTAAGCTTTAGGTATGCCATTAACTCCAGCATTTACTGCATGCGTAACCTATGTTTATTGCCCACCTTGGTTTACCATATCAGGGTTCTCTCAGTTTTCTTGTGTCTGCTGTGAAGCTGCTGAGAAAGAAAATCTACAGGAGGGCCACTTTGTGTAAAAAAAACATGATAAAAGTTTGATTTTTTTTTTATTTTTTTCTTTTTAATCGGGAATCATTCAGCCAAGTAAAAATGCATGCGTTGTTATTAAAAGCTTAAACCACAACATTTTGTCACCCACAAAATGCCTCAGACGCCAGCCAGTCACAGGCTCCTTTTCCTTACTGTACAGTAGCCACTAGATGGCGATCGTGCACCTCGGGCACATCTGGAACATCAGGCAGCGGAGGCACTACCACCCCGGAGAGCACAGGCTGATAAGCTCCCGGTGCGCTGGCAAAAGGATTGTTTTTTCTATTTCCCGGCAAAACTAAGCAGCGTTACTAGCAGGTGCTGCTGTCTAATTTAACTCCATTTGTTGTGCTGAGTACTGAAAGGTAGCCACCTTTAAGACGGTTTTGTGAATGTTAGGTCCATGAAGAAAACGACCTCTCACTTAGGATGTAGAAATGTTATCATCACCCCGTTTCTCTCCCTGCTCATTATCACTGGTAAAATCACGAAGCTGTATGTTCCTGCAAGGCATGGATATTCCCACTGACCAGCCAGCTTTTAATTTATGTCTTATCTTTTGGTAT